CTCCCCCGACGCGCGCGGCCTTTGGGGTGCCACCCCTCCCTGGGTGTGCGCCCGCTCGCCCCGTCCCGCGCCACCCCAGGGGCTTCCTCTCCGCGGTGGTGCCAGGTACCCTGGGTGACCAGGAAGGAGGTCTGAAAATACTGTCCGAGACTTGCTTTTCCCCGGAGGAGCGCGGCTCCGAAGCCTTGAAGGACGGGGCCTGGGGGAGGAATGGACACTAAAATCGGAATCCGAGAGAAGCGGAGAGCCTCCCGGGGCACAATAAAAAAGACCTTTGAGCTTTACCTGGCAGCTAAATTGTACTCCTTTGATACTACAAAGAATAAAAAAAAAGAAAAGAATAAATTTCCCTAGCTCTCCAGGGATAACAAATGCGTTTGTTTATAACAACACTCAATAACTCTTTTCTCTTTTTTAGAAGCATTTTTTTTTAGCACTTGGAGATGTAAGAAAGTTCCCAGAGAGCCAGAGGCTGGGAACCGAGATCGTTTGGGTTTTAATTAATAGTAGAGAGCAATGTTGATGAGTCCTTCGAAAAGAAAATGTAGGGAAGTAACCGAAGGACGATTATTTCAGTGCCAATGAGTTCACAACACTATATGATTACAATCATAGAATAATGAGTTCACAACACTATATGATACATAGAATAAATATTAACTGTTAAAGTGTTTTTAATGTTATTTTTTTAGCTGTGATAGCATAACCTTTTTTTTTTTTTTTTTTGAGTTGGAGTCTCACTCTGTCGCCCAGACTGGAGTGCAGTGGCCGCTCCCGGCCACCGCAGCCTCGACCTGCTGGGCTCCGGCGATCCTTCCGTCTCAGCCTTCCAAATAGCCGGAATTACAGGCATGCTCTACCACGCCCGGGTGATTTTTTGATTTATTGTAGAGATGAGGTCTTGCTGCCCAGGCAGGTCTCGAACCCGCGGGCTCAGGCAATCCACTCACCTCAGCCTCCCAAAGGCGCGGGATTACAGGCTGAGCCACCGAGCCCGGCATATCATAACTTTTTAAAATATGCTTTATCTGCTTAAGAAATCATGGGATAATTTGCTGTGGACATGACCATAAAAAATTTCCCACTAGGTTTTCTATCTGTTACCGTGTTAGCAATCAGCCTATTGGGAACATTTTATTGAAAACAACAACAACAAAAACATAACACTTTAATGGGAAAATGATGACTATTTTCAAAGAAATCGTGCAGAGTGACCTCATTTTATAGTTTTGCAAATATCTTATTAAATATCTGGCTTAATAGGAAAAAAAAAGAAATCATGGGAGTGAGAGTCCAGAAGGATAAAGGTGAAAAGCAATTTTAAGATTCAACTGAATTTGATTAATTTTTACAAGTATATGTCAGGTCAAAGATTATACTTATAACAAACAATACTTTTGTTTTTTTGAGTGGGAGTCTCATTCTTGCCCAGGCTGGAGTGCAGTGACATGCTCCCGGCCACCACAGCCTCTACTTGCTGGACTCAGGCGACCCTTCCGCCTCAGTCTTCCAAGTAGCTGGAACTACAGGCACACACCACCATGCCCAGCTAATTTTTTTGATTCATTGTAGAGACCAGATCTTGCCAAGTTGCCCAAGCTAGTCTTGAACACATGGGCTCAGGCAATCTTCTCACCCCCACCTCCCAAAGCGCTGGGATTACAGGCTTGAGCCACTGCGCCCAGCAATGAACAATAATTGAAGTGTTGTACTCTCCTGTTAAATGTAGGCAAGTTGATTAATGTAGTCGCATTGTTATAAGTTCTTCTGTAATTTTTTTTTTGAGTTGGAGTCTCAATCTGTTGCCCAGGCTGGAGTGCAGTGGTTCCCTCACAGCCATCGCAGACTCGACCTGCTGGATTGAGGTGATCCTTCAGCCTCAGTCTTCCAAGTAGCTGGAACTACAGGCACGCACCACCATGCCTGGCTAATTTTTTGATTTATTGTAGAGACGAGGTCTCGCCAAATTGCCCAAGCTGATCTCAAATCTCAGGATTTAGGTAATCCTCTCACCTTTGCCTCCCAAAATGCTGGGATTACAGGCATAAATCACTGTACCTGGCTTTGTAATATTTTTTTATTATTTGAATTTTACGTGGTACATCAAATAAGCTATTTAATTATTAGACAATTGACATCTTAAGAATATCCTATCAGTATTTTAAGTTGAAACCCAAGTGGCCCATACCTAGTTTTGCAACTTTGTGATCTGTTAAGCAATGTGTTTGGGTAAAAAGCATAGCACTAATAAATCAGGAACAAGTTCTCAACCAGATTTTTGTGTTCTGCTGCATTTTGGGTGTTTTCAGGAAGTTAAGCACTGCCTGACCCCAAACTACACATACTTTTCCCAAGAATAATCTAACTGGTTATTGTGGCTTTATTTGCAAAATGTTCCATTGCCAGTTCTAAATCTACTACAAATCAGAAGAACCTCATCTTTTTATAACTTGAGAGCTATTTGTTGTTCATTACATAAATTATTAAATAAATGAAAAACATAATTATTAAATTAATGACAAAATACCACACTAACCTCTGATTCCTAGTATCTGAGTATACATCCAAGGATTGTTTATTTATACAGCCCTTTAACACCTGCATTTGACATTCACTGCTCAAAATTACTCTCATTTTATGCTTTGATGATGAATCTTCCATAGTTCTTGTGTCATATATAAGAATGTGTATTAATATTTTTTCTAAGATTTCATATCCAAATATATTTCTAAACTTTTTTTTTTTTTTTTTTTTTGAGTTGGAGTCTTACTTTGTTGCCCAGGCTGTAGTGCAGTGGCATGCTCCCAGCCACCATAGCCTCAACCTGCTTGGCTCAGGCAATCCGACCTCAGCCTTCCAAGTAGCTGGAACTACAGGCGTGCACCACCGTGCCTAGCTAATTTTTTGATTGATTGTAGAGATGAGTTCTTGCCAAGTTGCCAGGCTAGTCTCGAAGCCCTGGGTTCAGGCAATTCTCTCACCTCTCTCTGCCTGCCAAAATGTTGGGATTACAGGCATGAGCAACCATGCCCAGCTTTTTTTTTTTTTTTTTTTTGAGTTGGAGTCTCACTCTGTGGCCCAGACTGGAGTGCAGTGGCGGCTCCCGGCCACCGCAGCCTCGACCTGCTGGGCTCCGGCTATCCTTCTGCCTCAGCTTTCCGAGTAGCCGGAATTACAGGCATGCGCTACCACGCCCGGCTGATTTTTTGATTTATTGTAGAGATGAGGTCTGGCTGCCCCAGCGGGCTCAGGCAATCCACTCACCTCAGCCCCCCAAAGGCGTGAGATTACAGGCTGAGTCACCAAGCCCAGCTGCATTTTTTTTTTAACTGGAGTCTCACTCTGTTGCCCAGGCTGGAGTGCAATGGCACACTCACAGCTACCGCAGCCTCGACCTACTGGGCTCAGATTTCCGCCTCAGCCTTCCAAGTAGCTGGAACCACAGGAATGTACCACCACGCCTGGCTAGTTTTATTATTATTTATTGTAGAGACAAGAGCTCACTATGTTGCTCAGGCTGGTCTCGAACCCCTGAGCTCAGGCAATGCGCTCACCTCCACCTCCCCAAGTGCTAGAATTAGAGGCTTGAGCCACCATGCCCGGTTTACACCTGGCATATTTCTAAAATTATTCTCAATTTTTACAGGCACCTGCTTTTTAAATTTAAATTTGATAGTAGTCAGTTTGATACATAATATTTGACTGAAAGAGAAACATGACAAGATTAAAAACCATAGCTAAATTTTTCTAGCCAAACTCCTGCAGTCAGTCCATCAACTAAGAACTCAATTAAAAAACCAACACTGGTCAGGTGCAGTGTGTCACGCCTGTAATCCCAGCACTTTGGGAGGCAGAGGTGAGAGGATTGCCTGAGCCCAGGGGTTTGAGACCAACCTGGGCAACTTGGCAAGACCTCGTCTCTTCAATAAATCAAAAAATTAGCTGGGTGTGGTGGCACACGTCTGTGGTTCCATTTACTTGGAAGACTGAAGGGGAATGATCGCCTGACCCCAGCAAGTTGAGGCTGCAATGGTCATGAGCGTGTCACTGCACTCCAGCCTGGGCAATAGAGTGAGACTCTGACTCAATAAAAAGAAGAATAAGCCGGGCTCGGTGGGTCAGCCTGTAATCCCGCGCCTTTGGGAGGCTGAGGTGAGTGGATTGCCTGAGCCCGTGGGTTCGAGACCCGCCTGGGCAACTTGGCGAGACCTCATCTCTACAATAAATCAAAAAATTAGCCGGTCGTGGTAGCACGCGGCTGTAATTCCAGCTACTCGGAAGGCTGAGGCGGAAGGATCACCGGAGCCCAGCAGGCGAGGCTGCGGTGGCCGGGAGCGGCCACTGCACTCCAATCTGGGTGACAGAGTGAGACTCCAACTCATTAAATA